CAAGAGGTCAAACACGGCAATGGAACTAATTTTGTCAACAAGTTTTGGGAGCCCCAAACGGGATGATGTAATCCGATTAACAGCACCTCACTACCTGCCAACATTAGGCATTGCGGTTGCGTAATGAGGGGTTGAAAGAGGAAGTGTGATAAATAATATCTGTTTGATTGTTGTGACATGATTTGCAATAGATGACCCTGGGTTCCGTGTAATCGCCTAACTATCGAGTTGCGTCATCGACTTCACCAAACACTTTGAAATGTGTTCGACTATTTGTTGCAAAAACTGATGGTCGGTTCTGCCTATGTGCGTGCCACCGCAACTGCAGATGAACTGGTACACAATATATGAGACAGAAACGGATTGCCAATCATGCATCGGTGCGTCCCAATCCATTCCACTACTGGAGGCATCAAATCGGATTGGGGCATTTGGTTTCAGAGCTGACTTTAACTTTTGACTCACTTCGATCTGAGGTGATCAACCTTGAAACACAGCTTGACGTGGAGGTTTTTTGCGGGGAACGGTTAGAGATGAGTTGCGTTTCTCAGACTTTTTGCAGTGAATATGAACAAATCGTTCGGAGTAATCGCGTCCTAGCAACGCTTTATTTAGGAATTCTTCTTTTTCGTATAATGCTTCTAGGGAACAAATTTTTCTGGCTCGATCGAACAGAGCTTTTGCAAGTCCATCTTTGGAGCAGTTAGCGAGCTGTGTATATTGATCTTATTACGTAACCGCAATGTAAAAATTTTGACAAATGGTGAGGTGTTGTTAATCCGATTATATCATCCTGTTTTGGGCTCCTAAACGGTGTTGACGAAATTAGTTCACTTGCTATGAAGTTGACCTCTTGTTTATAGTTTTATTAACCCTGTCTATTTGTACAATTTTCTTCACTAGGATTCATCAGTTCAATGTGCTATGCATATAAGTGTTTGCTTCAAGTCAGCGATTGAATAAATTAAACGAAACGTTAACATCCTGAGAGTCCCGGGTTAGGACAGCTGCACCACCGTCAGTCTTCCCAGGCAGCCTTCGCATGGCCACAGCCCCGTTCCTGAATGTTGACTGTACATTTGTATATTCAGTAAGTAAAAAACGAAGTTAAAAGACATTAATTAAGACATGTATCTTCGTTCGGCCCTGATACAAAAATAAAATGTTTGGTAAATTTTGTCGCGTACTGTTGAAAGAGTCTCATTCCAGTTATTTATAAGTTTAACTTATGCCCATCATTGCATTTAGATCACAATTTCAAATGACGAACCTAGTGGCGAAGGATTTAAGGCGACTAAGCAATGAGATTTTTAGTAGCCGGGGAAAGAGGAGGTAAAGAATAAAGTTAAGAATTACCGCACAGCTGACTTTCTTTTATGGTGGTGCAATCAACAGTGCGAATCCAAAACAATTTAGATCACCTGAACGGTGATCTCTAAACGTTGACTTCGTCGTTTATTCTCTCCATAACGACAACAATATCCTTACTACTTTTATGAAATTATGAACTTTAAGGGTTTGTGGAATGGTTGAGAGTTAATTAAGTAAGGACGAGGTGAACAAGCTTGCGATCAGTGCTTTATCTACTGGCCAATTATAGCATGTTATATAACTCGGGGAAATAACACGGAAGGTTAGTCCAATCAGATTTTTATTATTTGCTAAATGGGGGTAGACGGGTTGCGATGTGGATGTACAAACACTGACAGCATTATTTATGATGATCTCTTGCGGAGTGTGTATTTCTTATACTGTACGGATTAAGGAAGGTACAAAAACAAGGCTGCCCAATAAGACCGGTCTTCAATTTGTGCAATTCGCTTTATCACGCGATGGCCAGCCAAACTAATTCAGAGAGTAAGGAACTTAGCAAAATACTCTCAGAATGATTCATTTGAGTTTGTGAACTTGATAGAATTACTAGAGGCAATGAACACACATATTATCGCCAGATGTAACTTCGCTATTTATGAGTGTTCTCCTGAAGGAAACAAATGACTTTTTGTGGCTTCATGGAAAGAAAAATAAGAATATCTGAATTTTATCGGATTGCTCAGCAAAGCTTCTTCTGAAATGTAATTTCAACGTTCAATTTCAGTTCAACGGTTATCTGTGTCGCCTAAAAGATGGAGTCGCTACGGGTCTACCGTTAGGTCCTCGATCGGGGTATACATTCATGGCAAAATTAGAGAATGAGATATGGTTAATTTTTATCGAGCCGTGTGTACTATAAATGCGTTACGTTAATGATAATATTTATGTCTGAAAGATTCTCATAACAGCATTTAGAACAAACACAGTTTGGCGAAACAATTGTGTTCCAGTGACTCCTTCTCACACTGTTTACAGATTACGTAGGTAACATTAGAAAGCAGATAACACAGTTAGACACATCACCAATCATGGGTAAAAGTTTGTCATAGTCAACTGGCATTTGTCATTTAATTGGTTTAAGTAAGTTACGGCATCAGAGTGACTGGACGGCGGACGGCGGAGATAGTATTTAGGTTCTTCAAAACTCACAAAATTCTTCAACTTTATCATCAGCAACATCATCTTAGTATAACCCTCACGCTAGAGATGAAATTTACTCCAAAAATGGCTTTTCTTAATATTCACTTGTCACGCCGCGAAGATGGCTGTTCTTGACAAAACTTATTCATAGGGAATACGTGGACAAGAAAATATATCAACTGTCATAATTTTCGCCGATGCAGCGTAAACAAAGCGTATCACCACTCGTGTAAAACTTTGTTCTATTGACACTTGAATGATGAATTGGCAACAGTCAGGTCGACGTTCCTACAATTGGATACTCATAGGAAACTAAAGGACCGAACAATGAAAAAGAAGAAGGTTTACGTTTCACTAATTTTCAAAGGTGACACAATTACGAGGAAAATGAGCAAACGACTGAGGAGTGTAGTAGAAAATACTTGTCTCAACGGAATGGTGCATTTTCTTCTGTTCCAAATCAGTTCTCCCATTGCAAACGAAGGACAGGCTACCAATAGAAACGACCTCGTTCTAAATCTACCAGATTATTTGCTCCTGTGTTACACCTCCACCACCACACATCTGGGCGATCGAATGAGCGAATATCACCAATCTTGGCTCCGTAGAACACCCATAAGAGCAGGTATGAGTGCATTTGTACAGCTGGCCGAAATGAATCACACCGTGGATGTGCTGGAGTCGTTCCGTCAATTCAATGATGGCGTCCGATCTAAGGCTGCTAAGGCCTGAGTGCCATCTACAGCAGAAGTAATAGCGATTGGAATCAACCAACTCGTAATTTGCGCACATTAACAATTCCCGAACTCCCTGACCCTCTCATGTCTTTGTCTTAAGTGACCCCATCTAAAATTCCCGTTAAAAATTCACACTCCGCAAAGGATTATCATCAGTAATGTGGTCAGTGCTTGAACATCCAACTCCCATTCCCTCACCTCCCATTTTACATATACTTTCACCCCGATTTGACTACTCCTGTTTTATTTTCCTGAGTTCCATAATGCGTTGGCGAGTACGTAAAGCACCGAAAACAAGCTTTTTCGTCGCATTCTTTTCCCAAGGAATCTCTGATTATTATTTACTTATCAAATTAAATTTGAAACACTCGGTCCCCTTTACCTATCGTTTCAAGATCGAAAGAAGACATATGTCACGATATGTAAACAGCTCGTTTAATCTTCTCAATTTCTGATGTAAAACAAACAAGTACATTTATATCACATTGGATTTTTAAATTCTAGTGAACGGATATGTCCAGTAGTAATCAGAATCAAAAACATAGGTCAACTCCACGGTAAGTGAACTGTTTGGATCAACAACTTTTGGGAGCACAGAACGGGATGATGTGATCTGATCGGCAACGTCTCACCTACTGAGCTGACTTTAACCTTTGGCGCATATCGTTCGGAACGATGTGCGCCAAAAGTTAAAGTCAGCTCTCAACCGCGCAGTCCCAGCTGTCCAACTTCGACTTATTGCCTCTACTCGTGGAATCGATTTGGACAAACGTCACACACTGTATCACAGTTCACCTGGAGTTGCGGCGACGCATACATAAGCAGAAGCACCCATCATTTATCGCAACGGATGGCCGAACACATTCCAAAGTGGTTGGTGAAGTCAGTGACACAACACACACCCAACAATCAGGCAGTCACGCGTAACCCGGGGTCATCAATTGCAAAGCACATCATGAAAACCAACCACAATTGATTCCGCTTCCTCTTTCAGACGGTTGTTATATAGCTGCAATACGAAACTGTTATCAAATTAAGCCTGGTGGATGCTGGTTAGAAGTTTCCGTATCACTCTAGGTGATCTGAAAAGGCAGTTACGTCACGTTGACCGTGTGACTCAAAACTGTGCGAATCCGGATCAGATGGCCAAGTATGATCACAACCCCCAAACCCGTTAACCCTCACCTCTCCCACTGAATCGTCTGTGCATTTGACGAAGGAACGTTGATGTTTTGACAATGACTGAACAGGAAAAACCAGCCTCAGCTCTCTGGTTTGGCAAGATAAAGTCAACAGCCGGTTGCAGGGGATATGTGGTCTGGCTGAGTTTTCGAGGGACCTGCGAATAATCCTAGAGTCTCAATCCCGTTAAGGGAAAATCAGCCACATCAACTTTGAAAAAAAATGTAAATAGTTGTTTTAAACCCGTTCGATTCAGATGCGTTTACACCATTCTGCACATTTCATACCCATCGGCTCATGCGGAATCTCCATGTTCACCTCATGATTATCAAGTCCAAATTTACCGAATTGGGTTTTGGTTTTAGAGTTGGGACTTGAAGTCATAGGCATTCTTACTTTGGTTTCAAACTCCGTGGTCATTGGCTTTCTCCTGAACACATTTAGTTGGTTTTCAACCGATAAGAAAAGCGTTTTTTGCATTGTTTTTACAGTTTTCGCCCTCGGGGATTGAGATGCCTAAATTCTTCGCATGTTTCCAGAAAACTTAAACCTAATGCGTTCAGCCGGATTAAATACGACTTGCAATCGTCTGTTACGTTCATATTGCAAAAGATGAGAGCGGGGATTTGATTTTTCATCCGCAGCAGATGATTCAAAAAGTTGCCGATTATCCTTCGTCAAATTTACAAACGAATCGTAGAAGTGTAGTGGTTCATTAGTTGCCACCATGCTTCGCGTTTGCCTCAGTTTCGCCAAACAGGAGAATAACTGAAACCCAGGTTGAATTTTCTTCTAATTGCCCGATATACAGTTCTGGATTAAACTGCCTGATACAATGGGTTCCGCTTTAACTAATGTACAACTGGGGTTGATCTGGGACGACTTCGATGCAGACAACGAAAACATTGTCTACTCATACAAATAGATTATTTTCCTAGTAGCAAACAATCACTAAAACAATCGGTATCCATAAATTATACCGATTGAATTTGATATGTGAACATTTGATGGAGTGTAGACTTTGAAAAATATGCAGAATTATGCGGTTGTATATCTTTCCGGGATGTGATCTGATAAGTAAATTCGATATACCTAATCAAACTTGAGTGTGATGGTAGAAAAATTTCTTTCTTCAGTGTGTAAAGTAAATTGCGCAGTTGTTCTTCGATAATTCGAGGACTCTATTCACTGGAAGTATTCTCCTTGATCAACGATTGGATCAACATTTTTCGTTTGACTCAACGTGATTGATAATATGTAAAGAATGCTGATGGGTACATTTAAATAAGAATTGTTTCCTCAGGGGTTTTAAGGCCCTAAGGAAATGCATAAAGTTAGCTGAGATTGGTAAATTCACCGTCATTTTGTTTCCTTGAGAACCCATTTCCTCGTAGAGCTACTCAATCCTACAGAGAACCAATGACTCAAGATCTCTCTAAAAATCCAATGTGTAATCGCGCTCTTCCGTCGTACATCCCCTCAATGCGTCAGTCGTTTACCATGATCTGAAACAGTATACAATTGCTCACAAGTGTGATTGAAACTAACGGGGGAAGTATGCTACAAAAAACGAAGACCCTCTAAACATCGAATAGAATGCATGCATCCATTGATACAGTTGTGCATTGATCTACTCACCTGTAGCATGGATTGGACAATCTCCAGCAACGCTTTTGCCGCAAACAGTCGTGCCACAGTTATCCCCGAAGGAAACGCTTCCAAGGCCGGGACGAGAAGAAATAAATCGTAGAAAATCATTCCGATTAGTCCGACCAGGAGCAAATTATCATCAAACGCACCCTCCTCGGAGAGTTCACTAAATTTGAGCACCCGGAATCGTAGCATAGTCGCGATACAGGTGAGCAAGCTAAGTGCTAACAATACCAGTTCAGTGCATTGGTACAGTGTGATAGCCGTGTGTTTCTTATTTTCCTTGGTGAAAAAAATGAAGAACAGACACATTGTGACCAAAGTGGCCATGAATAGAAGCAAGCCTATAAATAGGCCCTTGTGCGAACGATGACACTCGGCAAATCGTCTGGTCAGGTTGTTCGCTTTCCGCATACGAGCCAGTCTCTCGGACTCTTCTTGCATGTGACCGATTTTTTGAAACATTTTGTAGAAAATCGCTCCGGCAATGAGACTGTATTCTATTGCGCACGGGAACAGAAACGGGGCGAGATATTTGGCTGTTGAACGACAACCTCGATCCAGAGTGAAAAAAGGGGAAATATCGATAAAGTTATGTTAATTAGAATTATTATTTGCAAACCACCTTTTGGTAGTGAAAACAAAACGCGTATGGAAATGTCTATTACGGGATCTTTGCGAATGCCTAACGGACTGAATGACTGTAAACAAAGTCATTTAAATTTTGAAATATGTCCATACTTGCATTTAGAACACAAATTTCAGGCGAACAATTGTTTTCAATAACTCATATTCATACCTTTAGAGTTAATATGGGGGGGAAGTCCTGTTGATCGCTTCAATGTTTGTTTACTCTTTCAGATGCGTTTTTGACGCATTCTACGTCGGTCGTACGGCACGGCAGTTATCTATCCGCATAAAAGAACACCCTCGCTGGCTGAGTCGAGGTGGTTCCGGATCTATCACCAGTGCGAGTCTCCTCACTTGGTGGACACTGACCATCATGTTAACCCAAATGAAGCATTCCGCATTATTTATCAGATCCCCCCAAACCGGTCCAAACACGTTAGAATGCGGACGTTGGCCATAGCCGAGGCCATCTGTATGAAACATTTGACCGCCAAACTATGTGCCCAGAAACGTCTTATCCAAGCTCTCCACCTCCCCTGGGTTCGCGAAACCACTCCTCTCCCAAGTCCCCTTTGCCCACGCACACACATTTGTACACAACAACATCGATCCCTCAGAACTGGGTCACACGACCGTCGTGACAACCGCAAACCCCAGAAGCACAGATTTGAGAATGCGGTGTGCAACACACAAACACAGACAAATACGAAGTGAACAATTCCCCACACTTTATTGTTGTCCTCCCAACCCCTAGGATTTTCCCCTCATATAAATTGTAAAGTCATGATTGAGTTATTGAAAACAAGGTCACTTACTCCGTTTAGATGGTGAATGTTTGGATTAGCCCATTCGGATTTTTCACAGGCACCAGGCACTGTTGATGTTCGTTTACTCCGTGTTTGCACCGGTGATCATACGCAGGATGAACACAAGCGGATAGTGGGTGTATGTGCGCAGAACGTTGAGGAGACAAATCAGCGTTTGATTATGTCCACACCTATAGCACCGGATAGTTTTCTGGGATCATGGCCATAAAGCCAATCTATACCTTTTTCAGTTTAAGATGTTCGAAATACAATTGAAAATGTCAAAATATGAGTTTAAGATGCCATGTTGCTATGTGGATAATATCTTGCACAGTACGGAGTGAAAACACAGCAACATGACATCTTAAATTCATATTTTGACATCTCAAAGTGAAAAAGTGAAAACTGAATCTTCTGAATGATTTAATAACCAACCGTGGAATGTGGTTTGTTGAATACAGGGCCGTCAAAAATGGAGGCTGGAAAGTATATTATATATATACCTATTTATATATATTGAATCACGCCTTCTAATATCGTTCGATTGAAAAAGATCGAAACGCTCTTTCATTTCGACTAGAGAGCACGGACCGGTACAGTCCAGTTCCGTAGCCATTCAAACAACCAAATGAGAAAAACAAAATGAAGTAGTGGTAGTGAGATTCGGAAGTAGTTGATATTCCGTCAAATGCGGTCGTACAGTAAAATAATCAAAAGGAAATCCACGGTTGAGCGCCTTATTGGAACTACCAAATAGTTTTATGTAATTTGAATTAGGTGATTTTCCTTCGAAGTAGTTTGTGTCTTGTACTGCACAGTGAGAGTACTGGGGTTCAATTTTTTAACCATGATTTGGAGTCCTGCCGAAGATACTCAACCTTAATTGCAACACGCCTTATAATGGGTCGGGTCTGATATAGTAAACTATTTCTAGTGTTTGGGCAAAGAAATTGAGCACCAGATCCTCAAGACTATTTACTCTACCCGTTCCACTCTGATCAGAATAGGGCCTAAACCAATATCTATCCATCACTAATGAGAGTCGCTTAAAACGAATTGTACGTATTTCTCTCTTTACTTTAAGGCTCGATGGTTAGCGGAGTTCCACAGAGGAGTTTCAACAGATATTATATATATACGTACACGATATATACATATATTTATATACTTGAGCTAAAATACGCACACACCACCTCAAGGTGTGAATTAGAGGAAAAGTTACTCAGCAGCTATGTAATATTGTTCAAGTAGTCACGCGTACTTCTCTTGAAAGAGCGATGCTTCCTCCATCCGGTAACCCTTAATGTTAAAGAAAACATGATTTTTCCCTATTTCAAGTTCACGCCGTTCTAAAACTATTATTGTGAAAGTGATTGCCAATTCATTGATTAAAGGGATTCTATGAATTTACAAACAAAATCTCTGCCAAAACATCAATATGCTGAATAAGTGTTGACTATACAAACGATTGAATGATAAATAATCAATATTAATTTGTTAAACTGTTTGGAAAATTTAAATCAAATATGGTCTCCCAAATGGACGGAGGGATTAAAAATGCAACCAGTCACGGAATTACATGCAACTAGTTTAGTATTCGAGCAAATTTTCACCAGCAACTGATCTACAAATATAGTCACATTTCCCATTACCCCAACGTGACTTCTCCCGTATTTGCACAATTACCAATCCCATGTGAACTTAATTCACGGAGTAATCTCCCCCCCTCTTGTCTAACTTCCCACTTCTTCGAGTGGTATGGAGTGATGTTCGTGTTTCTCTAGTCCCAATTACATGAGAAAAGTACAACAGATCGAGTAAACCCAAATTCCTAATCGGCTAATGGAGTGTTTGTCCACGTAAGTAGTTCCGTGGAAATTTCGAGTTTCTAGAGGGCAATGGTACAGCACAGGAAATCCCACCCAGAAAGAGCCTTAGAGCGTGGGTCAATGGAACACTCCGCTTGTTTGTTTGTGCATACCTTTTATGAAGAACCGGCTGCATGTGACCCATTCGAGTCTGATGAAGACATTAAACGTGAGGCCTGTCTTGGCCCTTGTCACGTGAACGCATTCTATTTGTGAGCACGTGAGCATCTCGGGATTTTTCTCGGGACTCTTCTGAAAATGAATGCACGATCTGTGAGTCAGACGAAAAGTTATGCACATGGATCGTTGCACTCTACGATAAGCTTACAAATATGGTTGATGCGTACTCAAGTGTGCTATCATTCAGTTCCTTTGGATACCGGAAGATCGGTATGGGGGCAGTTCACGGGTAACACCACCCGCATATATGTCCTTACTGATAACGAACAGTGGGCGATGGTTTCGTCATAGTTAGGGCTAGTCAACTAATTTTGTGCAGTGTAACTTCATCAAGGCCAAAGACTTGGAAGTAAGTTACAAAACTAGGCCTGAGAATAATTAAACTGCATGTAAGCCAATTAAGGTTTGTCGCTTAGAGATTAGGCAAAAAATAACTGAATAGTTCAGGTTAGCAAGGAGTTCACTTGTTACTGTTTCTCTGGTGGTAATTAGCACACTGGTTGCACGGGGCACGGGGAGGGGACAATTCCTGTGTACGTTCATGTGAGATCAGATAGGTCGGAATGCAGATCACGTGAAAAAGCAAGCGAACTATGACATGATGATCTATAGTCTGCAAAGGTTGATTAGGGTTGAAAGAATCCTGTTCACAAAGTAAAAACAAAAATCTATGGGATGATTGAGAAACTTAACAACTAATTCATTTGCACAAGCGGAAACGTGAATATCAATTGTTGATTGTAACATTCCGTTTAAGTTAAATAGGAAGCAACAACCGGAGAGTAACAAAGCAATATAAGGGAAGCACACTGGTACAGTAAAGTAGAAGTAACTAATTGGAAATATGAGAACTTTCGGATTTCTGTTGATATAGGCCGCAGTTTTCGAATGCAGTTCGGAAGTTGAGTTGACCAACTTAGATGTTTGTGACAGGAGAGTAGTGGAGGATTTGGCTGATCACATGGGAAGCTTCGATGTGTACAGAGCGAAATGAAGCGTGAACTGAAAAGCTACGAAGTACTGGATAGATGTTTCAACCTAGTTGAGTTTCATCAGTAATCCATCGACTTAACTGAAGCCCGAAACAGGAACATCACAGGTGAAACGCAAGCATACTACCCACTGGGACACTGGGTAGCTTAGTGGACTGTTTTTCGCTTTACTTATGCAAGATATAGCACAACCCCTCTTTGAGAGCTTATTGCAGGCCTCGCACTTTGGGCATCTCAGTACTAGCCTCCAGGGTTATGACTCAGTTGAAATATTCTAACCGTTCCAACTAGTTACCCAGTGCTTCCTAGCTTTTCAGTTCACGCTTCATTTGCTTTGCAACCGATGGAATTCACCTTCAGAAAATTTTTGTCTGCGGTTATCTCGAAGTTTGTGAAAGAGTTCATACCAGACCAAGAGGTGTGATTCATAATTATAGTTAGTGTAGGAAATGAGACGCATTGAATTTAAACTTAAATCAGACTGAGTGGAAATTTCCGGTTAAAAAACTGGTACGGGGTGGAAAAGAAATAAGTTTGGTAAAACAATATCCTCGGTATACGTTGCAAAACCTGGGAGAATACAGAAGGAAGATCACAAATGTTTGTGAAAGATGGGAACAGAATGGCTCCTCGAATATCTCTGGTTTTATGGTCTGAAAGAAATATTCCCAAATCTTGTAGTTTATGATACTTGAGCCAAATAGTTGGATAACCAAGCTAATAAGTGTTTGGGGTATTCAAAACATGAGCTTTTTCTAAAAGTCGTCAGTTGAATGAAGTCCAACATATAATTAACAGATGCATTCATAAACTGAATGGTAAAAATCTGAGGGTGAAGACAGCGTCCTAAGTGGATCTACTTTGTCCAGCGTGAGAACTGCAATGAATAAGAGGGGGATATGTTTAAGCTGATTTGAGCATTTAGGATATTTTTTCCAGTTAACTGTAGGGCATATACGCACTTGGTGCAGAAAAAGGGTACAGAATGATCAGCAGTAGGAACCTGAACCTTTAACGTTTTACGACAAGGGGTTGGGTAATTTGTGATCATTCTGTATCGCATTGAGAGTGACAGAGA